AACGACAGCCGATAACGAAAACCTGCTAAACGGATCAATCCGATGCAAGAAATAAACTCCTGGCTTGAAAATTGCAAGATCCATTGCCACTGCCTCATTGAAACGCTGCGCTAGAGGAAGACCCACTATTGGCCTTGAAGGCGTTTTGCGAAACATCACGCATGTTTCACACTTTTCGTCAATTTTGTCAAGAGACTTTAAGCGTGAATCATCCCAGACTCCTGCAAAGAAACTTTCAACCTCCTTGCACTCGGATGCGCTAACTGCTGATGCAATTTTCAAATTTGATCTCTCGAAGAACTCTCTTTGCTGCAAGCAACATTGCACTCTACACGAATCTCTGTGTCATCTAATGACCTGAAGACGTACAATCAAATGGAACGCTTTTGTCGAAAATCTCTGCTTCATCTTTCTCTAAATAGTTTTATCTGTACATTCTTCATGCACGTTTGCCAAGTAACAACTGGGTTTCACTTTCAACCACATCAAGAGCTTTTGTTAACTTTTTACCAGCTGAACTACAACGAAACGTTACCTCACCTTTGGACATCAGCCTTTCACCTCCACCAAAACGAAACCATTTTGAACCCGGTCCTCGAACTACAGCTTTCTGACACTCTTACGACTAACTACTTAAATAACACTCTATTCAATTCGACCCAGCAACTGTTGAACTGCACGCACTGTCCAAAACTGCTGCATGCTCCTCCTCACTCACTAGAATCTCGTTGTCCTGTCTCAAAAATCCTGTAAAAAGAGCTACTTCTCTAGACCAGATTCACTAACTCTAGACTGACTTCCACTAAACTGACCTGTATATCCGCGATTGTTAAATCCTCATCGAAAAGAACCCCAACTTGCGAGCCACCCCCGTTTTCTTTGTTTAGAGCAAGCTCCTCCTTTTCACTTCATGACGCATTGACAACTTCAGTCCTGATAGCTGGTCCATTTGACTCCGGTCTACAAGACTGTTCTCCGAAATACTTACGCAAAGATGCTTTGAGCATGGTCTTGAGATAGTCCGAGCGAAAAGAGTTCCTTTCACAAGATAATCCAAAGCGGTCTGAACAAGTTTTCAGTCCTTGTGTTCCATGCCTGCTAAATCTAAAAGTTTGTAAGCTAAAACTGCTTGCTGTAACTCCATTTCTCATTTCGCTTTGTTGTACCGTTTTTCTAACTCAAGTAAATTCTTTCATCTTCATACCTGACTTAATGAGGAAACAATCGAAATCCACGTACCTTTCATACACCTCGTTCAATTCCTCATTTCTCGAGGGGGGATTATCAAAAAAATTTTGTAGACGTTTTTTTAGGTCGACCAAAATGCTTTTCCGAGCTCTCTCAAAGCACTAAAAAGACCCTGTTTTGGTCAAAATTTCTGCGTCGCTGACAAAATTTTGATAAAACAGGCCAAAACAGCGTTTTTTTGGAAAATGTTTACCAAAAAATCGCGTTTTTTCGACGCGCGCCCCCATCTCAAAATTTAGTATTTCTTGGCGCCAAAAATGGATATCTCAAACCAGTGCAAAGGGGGACCCTTTGTGTCGGCAGGGGTTCGAACCCCTGAGGGAGGGAGGGGGGAGGTGTCCGACCTCACCCCCTTAAATCCGCCCTTGTTTATTATCATACTGAGAGGGACTCACCTAAAATGGATACCCCAAACCAATGCAAAAGGGGGACCTTTTGGGTCGGCTGGGGCTCGAAGTCCTGAGGGGGGCGTCTTAACTAAGTTTCAATTTTTTTTTCGGTGCAGCGGTCGCTAAACCAAGTATTGTCAGATTAGTTACCGCTTTGTAAATTTGGTGCTAATGTTTGTTTAAGGTCATCAATTGACCTTTGCAGCATGATATTACTAAACTGAATGTAGTACTTATCGTTATGAAAAGTTTAGGTAGATTTAGATTTTTTAATTATTTTTTCAAAAAATTTGTAGGTATTTGACTTCGGCTAGTTTTTTTGTCTGTTAGCTTGTCAAGAACTGTTTGCGATATATCTCATGCTTTCTTTCGCTTCTGAGTGATCAATCAATTTTCATTGAACGGTTATGCACCTTTTGGCATAAATTGAACAATATTAGGAGCATATACAATGACGTTTAAAGGTAAAACAAAATGACGAAACTCACAAGAAAAAGTTCTAGTTGTGGAAGTTCTTGAATTTTTTGATGCTGACTTGTTCCAGTTTGAAAAACGTTCAGGTCGTGTCCGGATTCGAACCCCAGACCTTTCTCTTCACAAGCATGATGTGTAACTAATTGAATTTCGAAATATTTGCATAACTTCTTTTGTGAAAAATGTTCATTTCCTATAAAACTTAAACAGTTTTTTTTTATCATAATTGAATCAACGTGTCAATGTTTGTGTATCAACTTGTAGTTTTATATTTCTGTTATATCTATAAAAAGTGTGGTAAGAAACCATGTTGTAGTATGTGTTTCTTCTTCCCGATTTTTTAATTTAAAGCAAAAAAGTAGTAGATCATATTGAAGTCTTATCGGTCGTTATTCGGGTCATTAAAAACTTGGAAAAAAGCTCTCCTAAAATCTAGAAAACGGTTTTGAAAATTTTTCGTTTCATCAAATCGGAATATTTTTCGGTTATCAATTTTTTTTGGTTAGTAAATAGTTAAACTAGTCAAATCCTTTCTTAGCTTGATAACACTTGCAATCAAGTTAGTGTATTATTTCGAACTTTCTTTTTTTCTAGTCTAACTCGCAAATAAAAGTGCTCAATAAAAGTGTTCACTTGTATGGAAATTTCACTGTAGCATTGGAAATTTCATAGCATCTGTTCTCTGCTTTATTTGTGGCTAGTGTTTAGTTCCTATAAAGTGTCGGTGGCTGAGTGGTTGGAGCGTAAAACTCCTAATTTGTAGGTCGCAGGTTCGAATCTCAGATGCAGCCGAATTTTTACTAATTCGAGGCTTATTTCTAATTTGTTTTAATGCACATTATAGAGCTTCTTTTTGTCGTGTCTCGCACAAGTGTTTGCGATGCGAAGATAATATCTGCGTTGATAATATATTCAAATTTCTTGGCATATGGTTTATCCGGTCTACATGGCTTAGAGGTTACCATTACATCCAAGACCCCTAATTCATTTCTAATATTTATAAATTTACTAAATCTGATTTGGTAACTTTTTTTTTGCTTAAAATCTTTTTTTTTGGGCCTAAATGGTTTCGGATTGGCTTAGTGGCTTAATCTTTCCAATTAAAGAAGAAAAATCTGATTAAGAGTAATGAACGTAGGGAAGACTCTTTTACAGGTCTTGCTGATTTTTTTTTTTTTTGTTTTTTTTTTCATGAAAAAGTCTTAAAATTTGTTCACGCTCAATTTTGATTTTTCGCGGTTTGACTTGTGATTTCTTTTTAAGTTCAGTGCATTTCTATTGTTAAACGGAAGGCAAAATCCACTACCGAACAGCTTATTTTCCAAAAAAAAGGGATGAGTTGTATTATTGCAAATAATACATGGATAATTGTTTACTTAAATAGGACTCAATTCTTAAAAACCAATAGTTATTAAGCCTCTATTCACTAAAATCAGAATTCTTTAGTTCAAAGTTTTCCCTTAATTTCGATCAAGTAATAATTTGAGATAAATCATCACATAACCTAGACGAGTACAAAACTGAAGATCACCTCAGCAACTGGCGAAAGAGAGTGCACCACCGCCTAGTAAACCCAAAGATACTTGTAGAAGCGCAATCAGTAGAATTGTTTGCGCTATTGATTGCGCAATCAATAGAATTCTACTGAAGACTCTCAGTAGAAGCGCAATCGATAAAATCCCACAAATTTAACTCGAGTGATCAACCTCCACCTTAGTAAGAAGATAAAGTATAAATGTAACGTAAGATTGCAAACCACCTCCCAAATAAGTTTGTTTCTCCAAGCTGTTCTATTCAATCAGCTAAAAATATAAACCTGTGCAGCCCATTTGTCAACCTCATTAATTTATGCTTGTTTTCTTTCTCTGTTTTTTACTATAACTTTTGTCACTAAATATGACGGTCTTTGGTGAGACTATTTGTTTTTTTTCAGATCCTTTTATTACACGAATCACTTCGAAAAAAAAACATGAAAAAGCTTTTAAGGTTTTTTAATGAGTGGTCGGAACATTCTGTGCTACTTGCATAGCAACCAGCTAGCCTTGTTTTTCTTTTCGATGTTTTTTTATCAATTCGATCGAAACATTATCAGCACTGCAACCGGCTGTCTTTGTTCAAAATAACTTCAGGTTTTTGTTCAGTTTACAATTCCCGTTTGTTTTCCTTTAAACTGTTAGCAAAGGCTTGTGAAAGGTATTTTGTCTCGATTTTTATAGTTACTGGCATCTTCAAAATTTTTTTTATTAACATATTTCAGGAATCACGAATACTAATAAGGGCGGAAATCTTAGTTCGATCGTGAGTTGCCTCGGAAAGAAGAAAAAAATGGGAACACTGCAGAAGTCAGCACTAGACTGGGAATCTTTCAAAAGTACACATGGCACTGATTTACAGGAAGAATTGGAATCTCATCGGAAAGGGAAGAACAGTTTCTTAGATAGAAAAGATTTCCTGGAACGAGTTGACTGGAAACAGTTTGAAAACGAAAGAAAAGTTCGACAGACTGAAAGGAGAAAACAGAACACATCGAATTGACTTTTTTGTTTCGTTGTTTTAAATTAAAATTAACTTCAATTGTTAATACCAGCTGTTTTTGATGCTAAATTATAGAAACATGTGTCGGCTCAACCACCGAATATGTTGAACTTCAACGTGTTTCAATTGGGAGAAGAAAAATATCACTTCGCTTTGAGTTCATCGATTTTTTTGTTGCCGAGCAATTCTCTAATGCAAATTTCATTCGTTAGCCATGTTAGTTAAAATTGATGAGCCAATAATTAAAACGTCCTTACTTGTTTCAGAATTTCCAAGTGCAATATCTTTGAGGCATGTCAACAGATGGCTCAAGTTTCTGATTGTTTTTGTGGCAATTCATGATCTTTCAGGTTTGATTGAACTTTGAAAATGGAACGATTTGTTACTTTTCGTGTGCTGATGCACCAAACAAGCAAAGCAGCGGCCTCATCTAGTAATACAAGCCGACTACCCGCAACACCCAGTGCGCCTGATAGCGGAAAATCGATGGCTGTCAAAACCGATATTGTGAACTTGAGAATGCCGTTCCCTTCACGTTTTGATATCATACCGAAGCTTTTAAGTGTGCAAATGATATTGAGGGAGAAATTTGACATTCCTGACCGATTCAAGGCTCATGTGTACATTCGAGTAGAAGATTCTGGTCTTCAGAAATTCCAGTCCACTAATGATGAAGCGACGTGGCAAAGTGTTGTTCAAGGGTTGCTTCTTACTCCTGACTGTAGATTCGTTGATATGCTCATTTCGCCCAAGCATCATTTCAAACAAGATCAACACCCAAATTTGGATTTTGATTCGTTTTTCATTACTAATTGCGAAAATTTGCCTCTCGATCTTCAGCCAATACCAGAAGAATTCGAAACGATTACAAATACTTTCCCAGAAAACTTGGTTCAGGAACCAGTAGCGTTGGAAACGATGAGAGAGTTGCCGATTTTTATCGAGCAATCGAATGCTACCGGAGGTCCGATTTTAAGTGATAGTGGCGATAATCCCGCGCAACCTGCTGGAACCTTGCCACAGGATGAAGCTCCTATGAATCAGGTTGAAGAAATTAAAATGAGTGACACTGTTCAAGATGATCATAAGCAAAACACTGCGAACTATTCATTTGCAAACGGAACTTCTGTTAATCACGAACAAGATTGCGCGTTTTTGGAATCGAAAGAAAAGGAAATAATTGGCTTAATGAAGCGTAGTTTGCCGCATGTTGGAAAACAAATGACATCGGAGGCTGTGATTGACACGAATTTCAGAACTATCGAATACGAGAAAGCGAGGGCGGTTGCAACCGATACTGTTCAAATGGCAGAAAATGGAATAGAGCAACCGCCATTCTTTGATGCTAAGATCAACTTCGAAAAAAGTTCGACAAATAATCCGAACGAGACTCTTTCTACTGTTGCAGAAAAAAGCTCTGAAATTGAAAAGGAGACTGAACAAATTACTCCTATAAGCGATGCTTTAGAACCATGTGAAACTAAACCAATGAAAGGCACTGAAGCTGATCTGAACAAAACCGTTGAAGAAACACAGGATAAAGAGTTTGTTTCGGCTAGTACGAATACATATGCAACTGAAACTAGTCAAATGGTCAGGGTGGATCAAATAGTACCATATGAAACTTCGATTTTTTCAGTTACAAACGAATTGACAGAAACAGTGAAAAGTTCAGCCGCTTCAAAAGTTGTCATAGCCGAGGAAAATTTTGGCAACTTTGCTGAAATCACCGAACAAAAGCCAAAACTTGAATCCAGCGATATATTATGTGAAAGTCCCATGGAAGCAATTGTTGAAAGTAAGTTTTTGGCTATTTTTGACCAATTGAGTCAACACAAAGCGAAGATTCAATCAGTAGTGAGTAAATTGAGTACCAGTTCGACTGAACAAGAGCGTGAAGAAACGAAATCTAAGCTGAACAGTTTCTTAGAAGCTTCTAAGTTTGATTTTGAGCTCAATTTGATGAACAGCTTTATGGGTGATTTCTCTCAGCTGCGAGAAAAAGAGAAGAAGTTGGCAAGCAGCGCATACTGTCTTAAAAAAGACAGAGAAGAAATAGTTTTAGGCTTGAAGCACTTGAAAAGTTCTTTCGACAGTATGCGCAGTTCAGTTGAGAATCTGAATGTACAGATGGCTCTATGTTCTGAAAATATGGAGTCGTTCTGCGAAATTCTGGAAGCTAAACTGGATAACTGGAGTGCAAAAGAAGAAGGTTTGTAATTAGAATCTCGAAAATTGAGTTTCCAAAAAAATTGTTATTTTAAATAGGATTTGAGTTGTGTGATGCGCAAGAATTAAAATCTGTGGTATGCAATTCCATAGCACCGGTGATTGATTTTTCAAAATTCTATCTGCTATAGGTTACTACACTTGCTGAACCTGTAACAACAAAGTACTCTTGTTCCAGCAGTATTTTCTAAGCTGGGTGATAGAGAGACTAGCAATACTCGACTGTCTAACCTTTTCACTCGCAAGATGAAGCGTACTTGTAATCGGGACTTCTTCAAATAAACAACTGTTTTTTCAAGTCTGTAAGAAATGGAACTTGTTTTCTAATGAAACCTCAATAACGTCCAAACGGTTTTTTGGCTTAGTGGTAAAGTGCGTGTCTTGAATCTTAAGGTTCGAGTGCCCTCCAGACCTTGCTCGTTTCAGTGTGTTTGGAAATGTAAATTTGCTTGGGAAAACTAATTGATGGATCAAAAACATGGATTTGTCTGCTGATTCAGGAACTTTTACTGTTATTAAATGATTGAAAGACGGGATCTTGTTAACTATTTCTTTCCCTATTTCGATTTTCAGAAATTCAACATTGGCTGACATATTTTCAATAGTTCAAAACAAATTTCAGAAAATATTTTTAATGAAAATTTTTCATGTAGGTATTATATAAAGAGTGAGTAATACAAATACGAATGCGCTAAAATGAAAACACAATTTATTGTTGACGTTTTTGAAATGCATATTTTATACAGAAATGGTTGTCAAAAATAAAACATGCATAGGGGGAGGGGGTAGTTAACAAGATCCGAAAAACGTTTTGGAAATGCATATTTTATACAGAAATGGTTGTCAAAAATAAAACATGCATAGGGGGAGGGGGTAGTTAACAAGATCCGAAAAACGTTTTGGAAATGCATATTTTATACAGAAATGGTTGTCAAAAATAAAACATGCATAGGGGGGGGGGGGGTAGTTAACAAGATCCGAAAAACGTTAAACAGTTTATCAACCCTGATTTTGAATAATTTGTTTTTTTTCTCGCTCAAATGGTTTCGGCGTAAGTCAATTGGGCTTTGTCACCTTATATTTCGCTGTTTAAAGGAAAAACTGTTTTATGCTTCTGTGTGTTTCAAGAGGGCTGAGGCAAAGGAACGAGTTTCAAATAGCTCATCATTTTCTATGACGTTTTTTCTCGGTTCAGCCGGTATCTATTGTTGGCTCAGTTGACAGTCGTAAATGATTTTTAATGCTTATTCAACTGTGGTTTTTGACATGTTTTCTTCAAAAAAAAATTGGCATTCGAGACAAACGTATGAAATTTTAGTATATGTATTTTTTTAACTTAGTTTACAGGATCTCCAATTTAGACCTTTTTAAGTAGTTCTGGATCTAAAGTTGCTGAATTGATACTTGATTTGTGATAATTGAAGTGATACGTGATGCTTGATTGAAAAGTTTTCAGATGCACATAGAATTTTTTGTAGGTTTTATCGATTTTTTCACTACTTCAAATGATTTTTTGGCCATAAAAATTATTGAAGAAATATTTTAAATATTTTGTTGAATAATTAGTCAATTCAACTTGAAAAGGGTAAATCCAATTTATTGTAACTTTTTATTAAAACGATTGACAAAAAAAATCTGTAGTAATGTTCCAATGTTTTCTTTTTTTTCTGTTTTTAAGTGTGAGCAATTAGTTTCAAGCAGTATAGCGTCATAATTAGGTTTGAGCAATTTCAACTTAGCACACTGTTTTGTTTTGATGTCTAATTTTTCTGAAATTTTTGTGTTGTTTTTGGCCGAGTTTTTCTGAATCATTGTTTTTTTAATCGTTTTTCCCATTCGAGTGTCTTTTTTGTTCTCTTTGTGTTCAAATATTTTTACACTAGTGTATTAGTATGACTCTATGCAATGTTTTTTTTTGTTGTATCGCAAGTGGTGCGAATCTCGGCTTAGACTCTGTGTATAATTTGTTGTAGCTTGGAATACTGTAACGATTGAGAATTACTTGACCTCATTTTAGCGATGGAAAGTGTCTTTCAAAGTACGACTCTGAAAAGAAAGTTGACATGCAAAGAGGAGGCTGAAATTGGAGAGAAAGTTCAGACAGTTATGGAATCTTATCCGGCTGCAGATGGAAAGTCGAAACCGCTTCCTTTGTTCGTTGAAGGCAATCACAATGCCGTTGATGTTGCAGACAGGTGAGATAAACTTCTCTAAGGTATTATTTGCGTTTAGCATCAATTATTTCTCAAAATGGAGTTGCAATTCGCTCATTGCTGAATCAATTTTTAGTATACAGTAAATTTTTCTTAGCAGAGTCATTAATCAACCCACTTATCAAACAGCAAAAATTGTACCAAAAATTTGGTCTTTTTAGGATAAGACTCGATTTGAGACATCTGAGTTTTCATTCATCGGAAGAAATTAGAAAATAGCAAAAGTTAACCAGGATAGACGGTTACTAAGCAAGTAGCACAGATTGTTCCGACGGCAGTCTTAAAAGAAAAAACAAAACAAAGTTTTCAAATTGGTGTCGCCATAAAGACATCTTAACATAAAAATAGAACTTAGGTATATTTGAGAGTCTTATTAAAATAGGTCAATTGGAAAATCATTTTTGAACAAAAATGTTTAGAAAAACAAAAAATATATATTAAAAAAATTTAAAAAATTTGTAAAGACCAAAAATCAAAAATTTCAAACCGGTTTTTCTTGACATGGTGAAAAAAATTTCAAAATTTTTTTAAGTCGTTCGAATCACAATTGAAAGGGCTTTAATTTGATATATGACTCTACACAGTACAATGATTATTTGTGGTACCTGATTTTGCGTGGAAAACAAAGAAAAAAAACCAAAACACACCAGAATACAAAGTTCCTCCCCATTTACAATGGTCGGAACAAAAAATTCAGTGGTTCTTTTGAATCAAAATATGTTTCAGAAGAATGAAGGACCAGGAGCATAATTACATTGTGAAAAAAGCGAAAGGATCTGAGGATTTTGCAACCCCTGCCTGATTGTTGGCATTTGGTTGAATTGAAAAGCAGTTTGATTGAGCTTAAATTCAAATTGAACGTACTCGAAATTTTGAATGAAAAGTTTTTTCATTTACTTAGGTAAATTGTTTTAATTTGATTGCAATCAGCTAAATTCTCATTGCAATCAGGTGCTTTCTGAAATTTTCTAGAAAGTTGATGATGAGATTAATCTTTGATTTTGATGTTTAAAGATGTTGTTTTTGTGATACTCAAGCTGAGCTAGTTGACTTTAATTTTAGTAGCTGCCAAATGTAAATGATCTTAAATTTTGACTTTGATTTGTTAATTTTTTTAGTTCATGAATGTCATATTTAACTCATAGAGATAGTTTATATGTGTGTATATCTTGGGTATAGATATTTCAAGTAACTTGAGTTGTTGTTTTTTCGAGACTGAATTGAGAATTAAAAAACTTTCTTTTTAGGTTTCAATAGCTATTGAAAGGGTAGGCAAAAATCGCTTTGAGAGATCACGGCTTACGACATTTGCGCAAACGTGGTCTTGTTGCTTTTGTAGATTCGGAATCCAATTTTACAATTGAAAAATCTGGAACAAAAATGAAAATGGTGAAAGTTCTCACAGAAGTTTTCACCGAAGAGGCAGAAGTTTTCAACGAATTGCTGGATGACGCGACAGTTTTTGTGTAATTTTCTAGATTTAGCCACGTATTCAAATGCCAAAGTTTGATCGATCCCTGATTTGATTTTTTTGGGTTCGGTTGATTTCTCTTTCGGCTCAATTTGAAACACTTGCTGAAAGGAGGCAATATAAGCTCTCTAATATAAAGTTGAAAATAGTAAGTTAAAATGTGATTGACTGGAGCATGGAACGTGGAATTAAATTTACACTTTCTCAGCGGAATAAAAGTTATCCGATGAACCAGTTTTCTCTAAATGCTTTGTCTAGGACTTTTTCTGCTATAATGACCCCATTCGTGAGAGAATAGAATGCAGTGCACAGCTGAATCTCCGCCAAATTCTTTTGAAGATAAAATTCAATGCGTTGGACATGTATATTATCAAAATATAGCTAAATCGGTGATATGTTACTATAGGTGGTAATTTTGAGTATAGTGCATGTATTTAATTTCAGAGCTATAATGCATAATATAGTTATTTTAATTTTCAATCAATTGTACATGCTGCTAAGATAGTCTTTATAGTTTAAGTACTCGATCAGATAAATTGATAGTCGACAACTCAAAAATTCGCTCTGCTTTTGCCGAAAAGTTTGGCTTTTGAAATAAGTTATAATTACTGATCGAAAAATAACGAGCGATCCAGTTGCTTAGCTTGAACGTGCCACTTATTGCAATTTAGCACCCTAAAACCTGGCATTCGGTGATACTGAAGTTGGCTGTATTGTTTCTGTGCGCTTGCGATTAGCTAGCGTTATCAAATCGGAGTGCAGAATTTTTTCTTTTTAACAATTACTTTGACAAAATCAGTTGAATCACTTGACAAATGGTTTTCACCTGACATGATCTTCAGCTGACGTGTTCAGTTTTCTGAAAATTAAAATTTACCTACTGAATGGGTAGCTGCTACTGCGGTAGTTTCAGGGGAGGTTAATTTTAGAACGTTTTTTACATAACATTTTTTGGCTTAACTGGTGTCTACTCATATTGTCGGCCTTGTTTGGGCTTCGTAAGTTTTGTTAAGTTGCTAATTTGAGTTTGAAAAGTCTTGCTTGGCCTGTTTTCTTAGAACTGTTGTCTGATAAAAACAGGTATTATGAAAAAGTATGGATTTTTTTATTTTGTTTTTAAGACGCTTTGGGAACTTTTAAGCTTTTTTTTTTGCAAAAATTGTCCTTTTTTCTTTCAAACACCCTTCTACCAATTTTCAAAAAAAGGTATCAATAGAGACACTGCCTACAGGTCTGTGGGGTGAATATTTGAACGATTTGTTTGATTTTTTTTTAGTTTTCTCAAAAACTAACAACCCGAACCTGAGGTTGTGGATTCAGTGGATGTAACGGTTAGTGGAAGCTCCCCTGCTTTAGCGGGGAAACTCACAATTTTTTATAAAAAAAGTTATCGTCCTCGGTAAAGTCAATTTTTTTGAGCTTTTTTTTCTATATTTTGTGAAATAAACCAAAAAATACCCTCTAAATTAACATTATCTGAGATTTTAGGTTCAATCTTAAGACCGGGTTGTGGGAAGATCCTTTGCATGAGTGACTAAGCCCAAGCTTTTTAAGACGAAAAAAGTTATGGCCTTGGAAAAGACAAATTCTTGACTTTTTAAACCTTTTTTTGAATTTTTTCTATTTCTCTCGAGAACTACCCTGCCAAACCTGGTTTTTTTGGCATGAGCCGTTACGCCCAATTTTTGAAAACAAAAAACTGTTTTTCTCGGGAATGTCAACTTGCTAATTTGTTGACCGTTTTTTGGACTTTTTTCGATAACTATTCTGCCAAATCTGATATCGTATGTTTTATCGCCCCGACAGATCGTTGGAAGCTTAATTATATAAATTGCTACGCCTTTTTTAAAAAAAAAATGATAGCCTTTAATCAAGTGAAAATTTTAAAAATGGGACCGTTTTTGGAAGTTTTTTTATTCGACTGGAAAATTACCGTGCCAAATCTCAGAATAGTGTTCAATCGAGAAACTCGATTTTGGGAATTTTCTCTACTTTACCGGCTATGACCGGCGTTTATCAGAACAAGGTTTCCAATTTCGGACAGTCGAGTTTATGAGTTTTGACCGTTTTGTCAAAAGTTTGATTTTTTTTAAAAAAAATTACCCTATCAAATCTGAGATTAAACATTTCAATCGAAAGAAGCGGCTGCACGAGTTTTTCCTGCAGAAGCGGCTACTCGTTAATTTTTTGTCAGAGAAAAGCTAGCTATTTAGTAAATTTGCAAATTTTCAAAAAATTTCAATCTTCAATTATTTTAGATGAAAAACATCTAAGTATTTGGGCAAAGTCTAATTTTTAAATTTACTCATTTCTTACACAATTCTTTCTTGGTTTATTATTGAACTTTAGGAATTTCCTGGTTTGGTCCCACTTGTTCTAAAGGTAACGCGGTTATCTTTCTAATCTTAGGTCTGGGGCTCCAGTGCCGGCCGGACTTTGTTTTTTTTTCAGTATAAATGAAGTTGGATTTTTTCAAAAAAAATTGAATTATCAGTCTTTAGTTTGTCGGTTTATGTTTTGTCTGCTTAGTTGCTTCATCGGGGATGCTTCTTGTGCTTTCAGCAAATTTCGACATAGATGCAGCTGTTTTTAGTTTACTCCTGTAGTGTATAGAATTTTTATCCCCGACGTTGTTTATGTTTTTTGTTTTTCCCTTTAGTTTTTTCAGTCTGTTTGAAGCTTCACTTATTGTAAATGGTTTCGACCTAGTTTTACCGGCTTAATTACCTTATTTTGTCTTGCTTGAAAATTTTAAAACTGTGGCAACAGTTTTTGATGGCATTGTTGTTGTTTTAAACTCAATGGGCGTCTCCCCAATAGTTGTCGGCTATGTGGCCGCTGAGTAAATAACAAAAGCTGATTTAATATTGATGATTGTTTTTTTTTCGATTTTGTGATTTTTAATTTTTTCGATTTTCTGAAGTGACTTGCATTTTTTTTTGTTTTGTGATTTTTCATCTTTATTTTGTGGTTTCCGTCTCTTTTTCTATTTGTTAGCATGCAATGCTGCGCTTGCATTGTAACGCAAGTGATGTTCAGCTCCGCTTGCCTCTCTGTAATTTTTAAAATGTTTTTAGTTTGTCTTAGCATCATGAAAAAAAATTGAGGCAGCCTATTAGGTCTTACCAATGCGTTTTAGGCTGGAAACAAATCATTTTGCTCTTGACAAAGCCTTGGGGTGAATCAAAAAATAACGAAAAAGATACCGCTCGCGGTTATCAATTGTTATCAAATCGGAACATACTTTTTTGGATTGAAAAACTTGTTTACCGCAATCACTTAAATCATTTTGCAGCTGTGATGCAACATGCTCAATTTCCAGACAATTTAGTTTTAATGACTAGTAATAGTTACTACTGGTAAATGCTGTATATACTGGGAATGATCAACCATTCCATGCACAATAAAATATTTTAGTTTTTTTTTGCTGATGATTTTGTCTTCGTGGTTGATCATTTTAGCTCTGCTGATTTATTTTTCTTTTAGGAATGACACCTTGCTTAAACTATCAGCTAGAATATGTGGATCCTCCGTGAGAGGCAGATGCTATTTTTCCCATAATTCTTTTTTGCCGAAATGTAAGGTTGATTTTCAGCTTATTGGGTGTCAGATTCAATTCTTTCAAATTTGTTTAATAAAATTTGCCTTAATGCAGTGCAACTTTGCATGGCGAACAACTTTGCACTGTCATAATGAAGTGCAACTTTCCATGGCGAAAAATAAACGTTTTTCCTCGTCGAATTTGATGGTTTTACTCGGTCGAACTTGGTGAAAATAGTCTTTTTCGGTGAACATAGCCGAAACGTAGACAGTTTGGGTCGAGTCGGTCGAAAAACATTGAACCTGGGTCGAAACATACCTACGTTTGGTCGAGAAGGTCTAAACATGCATCGCAAACCTCGAACCGGGCTGAGGTTTGCTATTTATGATTCGACCGAGGCTGGTCGAACACATGTCAGAGTTTGGCCGACAATCCATATTGTTGAACTCAATTCGAAACATAAAGTCGAGTCGATCGAAGCACAAAGTCGATCACAAAGACGAAACCTAAAGCCGATCAAAAAATCGAATTTTTTAGTCGAACACGAAGCCGAACCATGAAATTGAACAAAATTTTAATGCACAGTCAAAACATTAAGTCGAGTCAGTCGAAACCAAGTTGAACATAAACAAAGTTTCACTAAGAAATTGATTTTATTGTTAGATTTTTTGCATGCGAAATTGTATAACAGTTACAATTAGCAAATCTATTCAGTATATAAGTATTTTGAAAGGCTTGGGTTGAGTTTTATGTTTTTTGAGTCACTGCATTTGCGACTTTATAATTTTGAGTTGCCATGGCCGCAACTTAAATGATTTTAAGCAAAAAAGAAAAATCAACCGAGGTAAAGTTAATGTCAAGAATGTTTGGTAAAAAAAGAAGGTTTTGAGGCGGTCGAAACATGAGTTTTGGGTCGCTCCGAAATTTTTTGATGGTGCAAATTTGCATCGAAGTTTCTTGGTTTCTAATAGTTGCGCTTTTTTAGACGTGCGTAATTGCCCCGGATTTTTTGTGGTTGCCCACAGCTGCACCAAAAGTGCAGGTCGCGCAAA